CGTGTTGGTTGAGATCTTTCTCGAATAGAAAAATGTCTGTACAGTACCATGAAAGTTTCAGAAATGTTGATTATGTTGTTTTAACTCTTTAAATAAGAATAATAAAAGAGAAATCTGTTATTTTATGGGCTGCCGGCCATTTAGGATTTCGTTGTTGCATGGCCGGCAGTCCGGTTCAAGTTCGCACAATGCATGTCTCTAAGTGCAACGAATTTCGGCGAGACGTTTAAGTAAGTTTTAACACACTCATTTTACTCGTAGAGTTTTATTTTGGAGTTTGGAAGCTCGTTTAGATAATAAGAGAGGGAAAAAACACATTTTATGGGCTGCCGGCCATTTAGCATTTTSAAGACCTTGACCGGTAACCGGCCATATAGACACAGCGAATAATTAAACGATTAAATGTAGCTTCACAATATATTTAATTCCTGTTCATAATTAGCTCATCAATAGCACTTTAACTTTGACAAGACAGCCATTAAAGTCTCTTTCATTGCCTCTCTTATTTCTGTCATTCTCCAACAATATACGATTGGATTGATGGTCGAATTGAGACAGACTAGCACAATGGAAAACCTCCAAATACGAAGAACATGAATTGAAGTAGAAATCCCTCTTGAGGAAACTATGGCAATAGCACAGACAAACGAAGCATAAGACACGATAAACCAGACAAAAATACAGAAAAGGTTTACAACACTTTTTCGAAAATGTGTCAGGTCAGGGAGTGAGATCTGCCGTCCTGGAACTTGCCGCTGAATTTGAATTTTGGCGTGATGATACCGAAGAATTAAAAAGATCTTTGTGTAGCAGAAAGCCATCGTAGCAACACAAACAGAACCACCAACTGTAATAATGTATTTGAACGTCGTGTTGTGGAACACCCCGGCGAGTGAAGCAAAAAGTGAAATAACCCATACCAAAACGCAGGTCCAGGTAACACGAAAAAGTGTTACTCGAGAGGCATAAGTCAAGTGGAATTTCAATGCAAGATAGCGGTCGACAGTACTTAAAACTATAGTTAAAAACGATACAAAACATAGAGCAACAGAGATTGTTGTGATTGCTGAAGATATGTAGCAGGAAATCTGAACATTGTTAATAGACATTGCAATAAACTTAACTGCCACCATAGCTGGTTCGCCAATTAAAGCCACCGCCAAATCCGATAGGGCAAGGTTGCATAAAAAGACATTAGAAGGAGTCTTAAGCAAAGCTTTCCTCCACACTGCTGCCAACACAAGAAGATTAAGAACTGCTGTGGGGATGATTAGCAAAGAAAGAAGAATAGTTGCGATGAGAATTGAAACATGCAAGTCCTTTATGTTTCCCATGACGATTTGATAGTTAAAATGACAAGACTCATTGAGCGACATTGTATTTTGGAAAGCTCCCTAAATAGACTTCTGAAATAAAGCAAAATTCTTCTCTGATATAGACGGTGCAAAGGTGAAGCCCTACAATTAAATAAAGACTTGTTTTATGGTTGAGCTTCTGTGCTTTAGTCCCGGTTCAATGGGAGACTTTGCCTTCACACTGCAGATGATCCTTGGCGAACAATTAAATAATCGATTCACAAAGTCATTGATTATTCATAAATCTATGAACCAATTATAGTTATCTTTTAGGGTGACGTGCAACTGGATGAATATTTTCGATCAAACAACCAATATCATACATTCTAAGTGTTTCCCTTTAACCTTCTACCCTATAATTCTTTCATCTTCTGACATTTCTTTTCTTATTCTTACTATTTACCTAACCATTTTAATGGTTGATGATGAACGTCCTGTGACATCGGTAATATAACCCCTGTCTCGATGTTCTAGTTCTTGTTATTCCAGTTTGTTTACGTATATTTTGCTGTCTTTTTGTTGTTGCTGTTTTTTTTTTTTGCTATTGCTGTTCTTTCTATATTTGTTGTTATTGATTTGTTTTGTTAGTTATTGCTGTTGCTATTTTTTATTTATTTATTAATGTGTTTATTTATTTTTATATTTATTTATTCAGTTATCCCTTTATTTAGCTTAATTTGCTTGTTCTTTTTTATAATGAATTTTTCAAATTGTTTGTGGTGCTTTCAACTGTCAGTCAACATCTGGAACCACTGATGAAGCAAGCATTTCCCTTGTCTTTTATCCGTTGCACCACGTCAAAGCAATAAGCCGAACACTTGAATTGACTGTAATGGTGCTCGATTTAGGCAGAACTGGCCGGCAAGTCCACTCTATTTAGAGGTATATAATGCTTTTTGTCAACATTTTTCAGTCATTTCGAGGTTTTCTGTGGAATAATGGATAGAATTTGAAAATTTGAATTTCCTAACTAAATGGGAATGATATTTAATATGACGTTTTCTCTGGGTCTTGCCAGCCAATTCTGACAAATGGAAAGCGCACTAAGAAAAAATTGCACTCAACGCTTAACTCCCACATAGTCGCTTAATAGCACCACTCTCCAGATGCAATATCATCCAAACTTTGTTAAAATTTGTTTTAAGAAAGCCTGAATAGCAATTGAGATAAAGTGTTTTGAACCATTGACAACTAGACGCATGGCTGCGTGAACTCGGATATATCAAAACGATGAAGTGACAACAATGAGTGTTGTAGTCGAAGAATTGAGAAGAATTGGACTATATTGAACCTTAATAAAGTTAATGGAATAAAAAATAATTAAAAAAACCAGTGTAGTCAGCATAAATATTATGAAAAAATTGATCATAAGCAAGCCGGTCTCACTTTGATAGTCACATGACAGGCTGTAAACACAGAGTCTTTTTTCTTCTCCGCTCTTCCATTCGTCGGCTTTTTCTCAGAAGAACTCTGTTCGCATTCCTTAGACGAGACCTTAGTAGTTTCAGAGCCTGCATAAGTTCGTATATAGTTCGGTTGTGCAAGATAGGTAGCTTGTTTGATAGACAATTCTCGATAGACTCGATCTCGATAGACATTAAGATAAATTCTCGATAAATTTACGGTATCTCCTGAAATTCNGTTACTGTCCGCGTGGTTGTGWACTGGATAGTACACCATCAGGGCTTTCCCATACATTCCCTTGTAAAGTAAGACCATATTCAAACGCTTATATTTTTGCTACAAAATCGCAGTTTGACTTCAAACTTTGCATAACTGTTGGGAATTATATGCTGCTTTTGGCCATGAACATGAAAAATTCATTTAGATCTTAAAACACAGCCTTTTGTAGGTATTTCTTGACCTGTCTAAAACGCATTGAACCGTGATAATTCCATACATTCTTACCAATTTTCGTTTGCTCGTATTTCTGTTAAAAAGCATTATTTTGGCTAAAAAYTTCGCAATAATACTTTAATTTAGATGTTCTATCGAGGACAATAATAATATTTCGCYAATTTGGCCTCTRAAAAGCATTTTTAGAATATCACGTRATTATGAGCTTGGGCTACCTGTGGACAATTTGTGACTGATAAGCGACGACAATGAACAATAACAAAAAGACGCCCGAAATTTAGACTCGGGGATTCCTTTGGAACCCCGAGTAATAAAGTTCTTACGAATATAACATTGAAAGACGATAACAGGAAGGGCCCAAAAGAGCTTTGCGCTTGGCATCAAGCTTCCGTAAAGACTTTATACAGATGATTGACTGACTGCAAAGGGAAAAAGCATACCCAAGCGAAACCACATTTTCAAAGACAAAAACCAAGTATGTTAATAAGAAGATATTGATTTCTGGTAAACAGCTCAACTGTTGATCTTGTTCCCCAACGACAATGTTTCTTCGGGCCTGCGAAAGACCAAAACATTATCGGGCACTGGGTACGAGAATGCTGATCTGTCACATGCAAATCTTGCACATTATCATCATTATAGAAGGCCAAATAATAAACTGCCCTCATAAAAACACGCACCTAGCGGGCCGATAATGATTTTGGCGGGCTGCAAATCTTTTCGTATCAGCCCTGTCGCTGATTGGCCCAACGAGGGTCTTACGATCGTGCTCGACCAATCAGATTTCATTGTGATAACAATTTGAAAGCGCGCGAGTTGTTCTTCGCTGCGACTCAAGTTTGAGTTTTTGAAACGATTTATCACTCAAAAATATGGCAGAATATCCTAATTTCGACCTGGAAGTAGCGAATAATCAAGGTTCTGACTTAGGCCAAGAGCAGCTTGACGTAATAGAAGCTCAAGCTCAAGCCAAAAACACAAAGAGAGCAACTGAATGGGGCTTGAAAAAGTTTTTCAAGTGGAGTGAAAAACGACAAATCAGTGTTGACTTGAAAACTATTGCTCCAAAAGAACTTAACGAAGTTCTAAGGAAATTTTACGCAGAGGTTAAAACAGAAAAAGGACAGCCCCTGACCCCAAGTGCATTGACAGGAATAAGAGCAGCCATACATCGCCATTTAACATTGGCTCCGCTAAGACAGCGCCTTCATGTCTGCTAACAAAATGTTTGAAGCGAAAGCTTGTTCTTTTTTATAATGAATTTTTCAAATTGTTTGTGGTGCTTTCAACTGTCAGTCAACATCTGGAACCACTGATGAAGCAAGCATTTCCCTTGTCTTTTATCCGTTGCACCACGTCAAAGCAATAAGCCGAACACTTGAATTGACTGTAATGGTGCTCGATTTAGGCAGAACTGGCCGGCAAGTCCACTCTATTTAGAGGTATATAATGCTTTTTGTCAACATTTTTCAGTCATTTCGAGGTTTTCTGTGGAATAATGGATAGAATTTGAAAATTTGAATTTCCTAACTAAATGGGAATGATATTTAATATGACGTTTTCTCTGGGTCTTGCCAGCCAATTCTGACAAATGGAAAGCGCACTAAGAAAAAATTGCACTCAACGCTTAACTCCCACATAGTCGCTTAATAGCACCACTCTCCAGATGCAATATCATCCAAACTTTGTTAAAATTTGTTTTAAGAAAGCCTGAATAGCAATTGAGATAAAGTGTTTTGAACCATTGACAATAATAATAAAGCCCAATATGTTCTATAATGAGAAGACATCGTTTTCTGGCGGGCGAACAGTTTATTGGTAGAACTCATTCTCCAACTTCTCCAACGACGTTTTTTTYAGACCTGCGGCAGACTAAAAATTTATAGGGCACTGGGTACAAGAATGCTGATTTGTCATTTACAGACTTCGCGCATGCGCAGTCAACTTACCAAAAATCAAGAATTGGGGCCACATTGTCACAAGTATCACTTTCTTCTTGTTTTCATGTTGCTTCCTTTGTTGTCCACCGGGAGCTGAGAGGTCCACTCAAAATCAGTAGCACCGAAAACGGAGACAATCTCTTCCTTTTCACCTGGCTTTATTGTTCGAAAATGACAACAATCCGGTAGTTTTGACAAGTAAAAAGGAAGCACTTCCCGAGCCTTGAAATATCATAAGAYGAAAAACATCTTACACACAAGTGTCAACGATACTCAATTTTGACATATAGCTAGCGCTTCTAGTCCAAGAGCAGTGAGTCAACGATTACGGCTATCAATTTAAACCTCGAAGTTATGAAATTTCAATACTAACTAAGATCAGTATAATCTTATAATCGTTTGCCATTTTATTATTATTATTATTTTTTTTTATTATTATTTAGTGCATTTAAATTTTATATTTGAGTTTTATTTCACTCAAGTTTCAAGTGGATTGCACTTTTACCTGATAAATCTTTGAAGACTGTCAAGAAATGAGTGCATGTCCACCTGCATAGAGCGAAGAGAAAAAAAGAAAAGAAACAATAAAAAAAGAATGAGAAAAAGAGAGAAAGAGGACAGCATATACTCCTCACAATAACTATTATTCTATTATCTTTTTACATAACTATTATTCTTATAATAGCGGCTTTTTTTCTGTTCAGTGATTTTAAAAATGGAGTCATGGGTTTATCATGGATAATATCGTTATATGATTTTCACCCTTTTCTCGCTAAAACAGATCACAAATCATTGGAAAACTTTGAAAGTATGTTTATGAAGGTTAATCAAGCATAATCTGCAATTTAATTATACAAATTACATTCGATACGTTGAAAAATGGAATATCAACTACCCTATATAGAATTTCTTCAATTGACTTTGAGGACCCGTTTACACTTGCGATTTTTGCAGCGCRATAATCGACACTTTTCTATCGCGCACCTAAAATCGTACGTGAAGCTGCAGCTAAATGTTAAGCATGTTCGAAACTCTGGCGATGGCCGCCAGTTTAAACGGGCCTTAAKAGAGATACCGTATTTTCTGTCTCGTCGAAATGATAACTAGAGTCTATTTTATAAAAGTTGAACTTTCGACCCATTTGGCTCATTCTCAGGACCAACGAAAAAAAAAATACGTTGCATTCTTCAATCTTATATTATTTAAGTAAATAACGTAGTTTTTCTTCTTCCTTTAGTCCTGAGGATGATCCACATGAGTCGAAAGCTGGCTGGACAAATAAAAAAAGATAAATATTAAGTTTGAGGTATCAAATTTTATAAACAAGATGAACGTCCACAAAGCCAACAAACATCTTATTGAATRTATAGCCGGTGTATTTTTATACAGTTCTAGAAAAAGAGACAGAGCGTTGGATCTCAGATGCTCTGCGATTGCCCAAAAGGTGCGATAAACCAATGCTACACGTTTCCTTTATGCCTTGGCGTATTTCCTGCATTTTCCAACAATATATAAGGGGATTGATAAGAGAGTTTAAGTAGACGATGATAATGGCAAATTTTTTGACCATTAAAACGTCAAACGACGGTGAATTTCCCTCGAGGGATATGATTACACTGGCAGAGAGATTAAGAGTATACGAAAAGATAAACCATGAAATAATACAAACAAGATTACTGACAGTCTTTCTAAAGAGAGGAAGGTTAATTGGCTGTTGTCTCCCTATAGCAGTCGTTTGCGCTTGGATTTGGTTGTGATGATGTCGTAAAATGAAGTATATCTTCCCATAGCAAAATATCATTACACAAATGCTGAATGTTACTGCTCCGACAATAACAAAAGCAAAAAAGTTATAAGTCGAAAASAAAGCACCGGCAGTTACAGAAACAATCCATATAACAATACACAAAATTACAACTCGACGTATAGTRACTATTGAAGAGTGTTTCAGAGGATAGCTTAGTACCATATAACGTTCGACGGTGCTTGACACAACGGTTAGATAAGAAGCAGTAGTAAGTCCAGTTGACAACAGAGAGATAACGAAAGTTGTAGTGCAGGTGTGAAGTCTGTTAAGACCAATAACGGCATATAAAGGCTCACAAATAATGGACACAGCCAGATCTGAGAGCGCAAGATTGCAAAGGAACAAATTTGAGGCGGTTCTCAAGGGCCTTTTTCGCCATATCGTCACCAAAACCAGAGTATTTAGGACGGCTGTCGGTCCAGGAAGAAGGCAAAGTATAACATTAGCAATTAGGCTGGTTCGTTTATAGTTTTCTTGCTTTTCAAAGAGAGTTTCCATTAAATTGTAAATACTATTACAAGATGAATTGGCAGCCATAATATTCCAGTGTTAATTCAATTGTCAGTCGCGCTTCCACTTCTGCTGAGTGATTTTGATGAATTTCATGAAAATGCWATTTCGACAACTTATATTAATATCCATCGACTGGCTATCTTTGSTCCGATTGGATGGCAATAAGTAAATAAAAATAAACAATAAGCCAACCTACGAATTAGTTGCAAAACAATTACCTATTCCCAACCAATAGGACGGAAGCACAGTGTTTTCCGGCTGATAAATCTCTTATTTTGACAATTAATTAACTTATGCAAAAAAAAGTACATTTTGTAAAAGGCAATGCAGTTTTACTATTAAAACCATTATTATTGAGTATTTGCTTAGCCTTTTATGACAATATCCATATAATATAGAATAAAATAAATATTGAATTCGGATTTTGTGTTGTCGGAGATACCATAAAGGCTTAGCCAGGTGAAATCAGTCAAATTGAAATAGGTTTATTCCAGTAATCGTCAGTAATACAGAGAATCGTTGYTTAAAAATATTGCTTTTAAATCCGCTTTAATTGCTAACGCTTCCAGATGCTAAATTTWATAACTGAGGAATATCTTACTGAAAGTAGTTAAAGAATTAACATCTGYTTCTCGGTTGGGAAAAACAATAGGCGTGAAAGAAAACATAGCAATAATCACACTTTGTTATTGCAAAGCACCCCGCATATGCGTAGGTACGAGCAAATATAGCTATTTCAAAAAAAGGTTGTCAAAGAGGACTGTGCTTGAATGGAATCRACGAGCGCTGATCACGCGACAGTAAAGAGTTATTSYTAGTGATGAAATACACGTATGTACATGTTCATAACATATTCAAACTTCAAGTCCGTCACAAGTTTGAAATTAAATTAACTGTTCACAAAAYTTTAAAGTACATCATAGCTCTTTAAATAGACTGAATTATTTTCATTATTATTTAATTATTATTTTGTTTTTATTTTTTTAATTATTTTAATTTTAAAAATACTATTGCTAATTTAAAATTACTGGTTCAAATTACTACTGAATTCCTTACGAAATACTAAATGACAAGATCTATAGTCTGTATATTGATTGGTCTATATTGACATTGTTACTATAGTTGTATACTACCATTACATCTTTATTATCCATCTATGATACTACACGCTGATTCGTTGAAAATTGGTCCGTGAAGTCGCGTATCATGACCGCGGGTCCGTCGTTTTCCATATCCGTATCCAATTACTAATCTGTTCGCGGGGTAAATTTGACTTTGAAAACGATCTATTTACAAAAAAAAGAAAGAAAAACACTGAAAAACTTTAAGAAAAAAAATATGCATTGTTGACGATTCCATCAAAGCTCCGAAATTGATTTCCTGTTTTAGAGTCACTTTGTTTAGCACCCCGGGCGCATCTTTCAGATTATTGGCTAGCCAATGGCCCCCATTATTGTGAAATAAAATGTAACTTGTTAACCAACCAGATTTTAGAAGCTTAATACCATGTATCATAAAGCTTATAACTTCCAATGGTAAATACGTTTTCTTATGAGAAAATTCTATCAGCGTCAATCCTTATAATTGTTTTGTTAAGAGCAGGAACTGCGAAGTCCTATATTTATTTCATTTCTAATTAACGTTGTTTTTTTTTTTGTTTTTTTTTTGGGGGGGGGGGGGGGGGGGGGGGATGAAGATCAAGTAGAGTGTCAGCAACCAGACGGTTGGCAATAACTTGAGCAGTGTCCATCAAAGAGAGCTGTCCACGTGAATACATTGTTCGAATATATACACCAATTTCAAAACAAAGGCTAAAAAGGCAAATGTCAATTGTCGAACCGGGATTGCATGAGAGAAAGGACCTATGGGTTTTGCTAATCGTCGTTAAATAATACTGCTTTATACTGTAAAATAGCTTGTGGCAAACATTGGCTCCATATAGCCTCCATTTTCACCTAAAGACCTAAAGGTAAACCCAAAATGTGTTGTTGTATAATATATTTTTTTTTCTTTCTCGTTTTTTTTTTTTTTTTTCGTCAAAGAAGCTGTATGTCAAACAGCGTAACCATAGTCTCTGTCTACCGTGTATGCAAACTATCTGTTGAGTTTTAGTTTAGATACGGACATCAGCCAAGTTTCTTTCATACCAAGGCGCAATTCCTTCATTCTCCAGCAATAGATAACAGGATTTATAAGAGAGTTAGAACAACCAATAGTAACTGAAAACACCCAGACTTTWGCWATACCAATTGGTGTACTATAACCATTCACCAAAATAATGGACGACGTCAATATGTAMAATGAATACGAAAAAATCATCCACAATAAAATACACAGAAGGGTTCCAACTGTCTTCTTAAACTGAGACAGGTTGATCATCYGCTGTCCTTGAACGGTATCGACCTGAGCTCGGATTTGATTGTGATGCTGGCGCAAAATAATGCAGATATTGAWGTAACAGAACACCATGATTCCAGAAGCAAYAAATGAGCAGGAAAATAATAWAAAAGAACCATATTTGTAAGTGAAAAAGACGAGCGAAATCATCAACGAGAATATCCATARAAGAATGCATGCAAAACTAGCACGGTTAACAGTAAGCAATGATTGGTATCTTAAAGGGTACTTTAACGCAATATAGCGATCAACAACACCAGCCGTTATAGTTATATACGACACAACACCGAAGCTAGCAGAGACGAAGCCAATGAGAAATGCCGTGTAGCAATTGTCGAGTAGATTTAGCAGACCTTGARTTGCCATAAGAGGTTCACCAATAATAGCCATGGCCAAATCAGATACCGCCATATTGCATAGGAATACATTCGAAGGAGTTCTTAGGGGAACCTTCCGCCGTACTGTTACAAGGACCAAAATGTTTAGAACCGCAGTCGGAATGACAAGACAGACTAGCATGATATCAGAAGCAAAGCGCTCGTCTTGGATTCCATGGYTGCTGAAATACCATAATAGGGATAAAGTATCGAAACTGCAGGAAGAGTTATTTTGCATGATTCAATAAATTGAAAAGCGTAAAGAAATGACTTGTTAGAGCAGGCAAAAATGCTACCAAAGAGTAACCAGATAAACTTCTTGAAGAACCAGCAAGAAAATGACTCTAAAGACAAAACGTCGACCTGTTACTAAGAGTTACGGTTCTCCAATCGGCATATACGAGAAATTATACCAATTTTCCCATTATCTAGAACTTTCAACCAATCAAAGGATGCACCTGCATACAGGGCAAAAGAAACAAGTTTRCAACAAAGTAGTCGATCTCAAGACAGCTGGGCTCCATCCAAAACCAACGAGAAAAAGCTAGGAAGTGAACTGCGTCAATCAAATGCACTGAGGTGAACATACTGTGAGAGATTTCATGTTAAGGGTTTTTTTTCTTCTCATCAATCCATCTTGCAGCGCTGAAGAACTACTYATATACCTCCTCAAAGATATTGATCTACGAAAGAACTTATAAAATTCAATACCAAAAGAGCTTGTGCTTTCCTGACTTTTAAAAAGCTATACAATAGYACGCCGTTGGTGGTTATTCTACAGAGTTCTTGCAATATTTAAAAGTCTTTCTTCCTGTACTTTTGATCCATTAAGTGTATAAAAGAAACTCACTCATTTCCCCTTATCACTATGCATTTTAAAAACACTCCAAGCAYAATTACATCCAGTGAAAGTATGACCAGATGACATCTACAAAATGCAGTCGTCATACTCCCTAATTCACTTCAGTGTGGAAACGGTTTGATCTACGTATCTTCGCCCACTCAAACACCCGTTGAATTTCTGAAATTCCTACCAGCTTYCGAACTCATTTTACATACAAATCTTAACCCATTCCACAATTTAGTACATAACAAAAAAACAGTACAGGTCGAATGTATGTCATCGAACAACGTTCACGCTATAATATCGACTGCAATTGCGCGACCCGTGGATTTTTCACGTATTTTATAATTCGCAAGTGTTTTTGTGCGGAAGAAACCAAATCAATTTAAATGAAATGGATATTATAAAAATCTGTTGATTTCTCTGTCATTCTTTTAAAAAAGATTTCTATTGCGACAAAAAGTGACAGTGTATTCGTAAGTCCCCCCCCCCTCCCCTAAAAAAAAAGAAAGAAAGAAAAAAGAAAAAACGCGTTCGTCTGCGCGTACAAAATTTACTGACWTAGCAGTTCGTTTACTCCAATGGTTGTTTAAGTTCATTGCGCACTTCTCTACATTAAACAAWAGCAATTACTCACCCGGAATTGATTCTATTCTGTGACTTAAGAATCCAAAATATGGATGCTAGAAGATAGAGTGCTTCCAGGATTTCATAGCTGAGGCAGCTCTTTTCTTGCAGCATACATTTTATAACATCAGAAACATCAYTGACAGATGTGGAAACAAGACAAAGTAGACTTAGGATCGACCAAGGACTCTGGAAACATGAAAATATTATATTATAATGTATTATTTAAAATGAAATAAGTCTTTTTATAGAGAAAATCCAAGTCCTCGGGAAAAATGTATCATTTATTATGAGATAACTCTTTTTATAAAGAGAACATGATTTACTTCTTCATTTTGCAGTTTATTAGGATTTTTTTTTTTTCCTGCAATCATGGGAGCAGAGCTTCCAGTAACCTCATCCAGTGATTTGTAGTGTAGTGTAAGCTCTGCCCTCAAGTTGCAGAATTATTGTTTTTTAATCTAAGAAGTCATTATGAAATGGTTTTTGTTGTAAGACAAAAAAAAAACGTATTTTTTGTCATGTTAAAGTTTGCTGTGAAAGTGTGTACAGTACATTAACACAGGAATCCCATRAAACCATGGCTGATGTGTGTTACGTAAGTGTATTGTTGAGTAGTTTTCAAGAGTAAGTTGTCTTTTTGTAGCATTTGTGTTGAGAGGATGMATACCAATTTCAAGTATTATAATAGTAAAAAACCACAGGAGCCCCARCTGACCATTCCACTAATTTTACAGCTGCCATCTTGAATTTTGAGGAAATTACAGAATGTCCAGGGGCAAAAACACACATTGTCATATAGAAGAGCACGAAAAAGTTATTTTACTGATAATTTTGGTATCAGAATTTAAATTTACAGTACTGTACTTCAAAACATTCTAAATATTAAGTGTTACGTTTAGAATAGTTTGTTATATCTTATTTTAAGAAATATAATTCAGTTATTAGCATTCCAAAAGCTCTACAGTCTATGAATCTATGGCATCCCATAATTTCATACCRAATCAATAACTTAAAACAATAGAATTCAAGATGGCRCCCGTATTAGTAAAAGAGTCTATTGCAGACGATTATTAGCCTATGTGTAGTTCAACCAAAAACGACCCCCCATTTCTTTTGAATTCTTTTCCATTTACCTTTTGAATTTTTTTTGAGGATGCTTTCAAAAAGGATTTAACCAAATGAAACTTTGAATGATTCATTAATGAATCAATTAAGCCTGATCCATTTCGAATTGGTCTGAAATCTTTCAAAAACTTGGTGAGGTTTACAGGAAGCATCTTGGGCTCGTCTAGAAACTGCTCATCAGCGAGAATCTCTTCCATTTTCTGTGATGTCATTCTGTGACCACTGATGAGCTTATGATATGTCTTCTTCCAAATCAAAAACTATAAGAGAACAAAAAATGGCATAATTGGTTGAATCAACCTATTTTTAGTAATTATGCTTTGCTGCCATTTGTCAGTTTTGTCCTGAAAAGAACTTTTTTTTGATTGGTCGGTTTACCCATACAAGCTTTTTTTTTGCAATTTATTTATTTTCACTCAAGATGACATTTTCTTGTATGTTCACAAATTAACAAAAGACACGTGTAGGTCATGTCTCTCAAGATGATATTTTCTTGTATATTTACAAATTAACGAAAGACACACATAGACCATGTCTCTCAAGATGACAATTTCATGCAAATTTACAAATTAACGAAAGGCACACTTAGGCCATACAAGCTTTGAAGTCTATAATTGTCGGTGGTGATTTAAGCAAAATATAACTTCTCACTGAAAGTTCAGTAAGTAAAATAAACGGATATTTAAATCAAACACTCAATAGCCTAAAAAAAACTGTCAACATAGGAATTAACTTGAGCCAAATATTTCCCTACTACCTTTCCCATTCAGCTCTGCAGTTAAACAAAATATAATTTTGATATCATCATTCAACCCCTATGTGGTAATCAAACACGTTTAGGAAGTGTTGATTGTATGATCTAAACTTCAATGCAATATCACAAAATTACCTTAGGGTTGCTTATTATAGAGTGCCAGAATTTACAGACGCAAACACAATTTTTTGTTAAGTCCAGGAATGGAACTTGAGAGAATATATTCTCCAGTATTTCGGTTGGTAAAGAACCCATTCCTGACATATTTCCACCTAGATAAATATCAATAACAAAGTTGAGCATAAATGTACGAATGAATCAACTATCTAATAAAAACAAATATTAAACAACGATGAATATTTCCAACGTACGATTGTAACTATAGTAGTTAACTTTTAGCAGACGTTTGCAACTGAAATTTGAAAACTTCAAATCAAATACGACATGTATTGTTTCACTGTATCATAATTAAGCATTGATTTTCATAGCATCTTACCTCCACAATCYATGACTGCAACTGTTTTTATCAGACCAAAATCATAGAGAAAAGAAAAAACAGTTGTAATCGTTACAAACACCAGTTTACCTAAACAAACTGTGGGCTTCCTGTGCTGCAACTAGTGGTCTTCAAATCAAGTAAATTTGCACAAAAACAACGTTTAGCCTTGAGTCAATAAGTTAGAAAGKACAGGAAAGTTCATAACCTATCTGGAAAGCCTCCAAGCAGCAAAAACACACGATATTTTGAACCGTTTATCAAACATGTGAGTGTGACAACTTGAAGCATCTGACGCAGAGGGATCGAGTAACAAGGTCCACAATGCAACATCCATCCCGAGGGTACTTGCGGGATGTTCGCGGGTAAATATGGCGCGAAACAAGTGCCAKAACGTTTTTCAAGATTTTTAGCATTTTTACCTACCTAGATTTCTTTATTGGACAGATTCAACTGAAATGACCATTTGTAGAATTAGTTAACTCCCGCAATGGTTACTTTTCGTTGATGTTTGTATTATTCTAGAGATTTTTACGATATTCTCCCGAAGTTGAACGTTCCTAAATGAACTCCTATTAAGATGGATTATCCAAAGCCTCTTAAACTGATTCAAGATGGAAAAACAGATAATTTTATTCACTTACTTAATTCTTCAGAAGATATACCAAGTTTTAKTAACTTAAGACACAAGAAATCGGGAGATAACGCCGCCATTGTAGCTGCAAGATTTGGGAGATTGGAAATTTTAAAAMATTTGAACAGGAATGGAATGGACTTTGAACAGAGGAACGATGATGGCAAAAGAGCTTTACATGAAGCTTCTTATGGAAGTCATTTGGATTGTGTTAAGTTCTTGATAAACATTGGGGTAGAAATAGATTGTTTGAAGAGGGCTGATTGGTGAGTTTTAATATATAAATTGTCCAAGTTGCTACCAAGTGTACTGTTCAGACCTGCAGTGTTTGGCAAAGGACAAAGTTTTGATGTCAAATAGCCTTGTTCGCAGGCGTCTCTTTCCTTTCTAGAATTAGTGGTCTTCCTGTGCTAGATCAGTAAGTGAGAAGAACTGGTACTTTACCTATAGATCCCTGCAGAGGAGTSTGGACATAGAACTTCAGAGGTTTAGTCAATTTTGACTATACATCGGTGCAGGCTGTTTACTTTTTGTAATTTTTTATTGGAAAAAGTGCATTTTATTTATTTGGAAAGTTTCACAAATTATCAGGGACATGTTTTGTTGAGGCTATACCAAAATTCAGACTCATATTATTTACATGAACCCTGTTTTTACTCTTTTTCAACATTTCATGTAGACAGGTTGATTGAAATAGGGAGACAAGTCCCTTAATTCACACAGTGGTGAGATAAGACTTACATAGAATGAAAGATCACACTATAAATAAGAAACTCACAAAGTTTGGTGTTAATCGTATCAAATGTAAACATTTCTTGTGTGTACGTACATTTCATTCTCATTTCTTCATCATTTAATGAACTGATCAATGGCAAATTTGAACTGTAAGAATTTCTTAGTTGTGTTCTTTCAATCTATATTGGTCTTATTAATCTATCGTGCAAATTTTAAAAAGACTTGAACCCAGTCTCCAACTATATGAAATCAGGCAATGCTTACAATATACCTTTTTCGTTCCCTTGATGCTCCATACACCGCTTAAAAGGGAGAGAGTTGACTGGGTACAACCATTGCAAAAATAAGTTGTACATTAGAGCTAGAGCATCCAAAATTGCAAATATGATAATATTTTATATTGCTGAAAGCACAGAGCTTTAGTTTCTCCTATTTGTGTGTGTTTGTAGGACACCTTTATTGCTGGCATGTACAAAACCAGATCTGTGTATTATTGATGCTCTGGTCAAAGCAGGAGCAAGCTTGGTTCAGTGCAATAAAGATGGATGGGACTGTTTTCATGTGGCCGCCAGGTAATAATTAAAAAAAAAAACAAATAATCATGATTATAAATTATATAAATTATTTTGTACAGTTAACAAAAGTGCCTATGATGCCTAACAAAAAAATTCTGATTGTCTGTCAGCTGACTCTATATAAATAAATAATTGAATGGTGAAATATTCCTGCATTTCAGTGTTGCATCTTTGAGTTATGAAAGGTTCAATCTTAGAATATGTATGAAATTGAAATTTTGTTACGGTGTTTAATTTATCTTTTTACACAACTGTTTCTTTAAAAACACCAAAGCAGCTCACAACAGTTTACCGCTAGTTCCCACCATAATGAAATTAATGTCAAAGAAGGCTTCATTATATATACGAACTTTGAAGGAGTCGCTTAAAAATAGTTTCATGGGATTAAATTTATTGTGTGGAGTGTGGGGAATTACTACATGTATATTCCCAGATGGCGTCCATAAAAACATTTTTGAGCCACTGTTTCAAAGTCCGTATATCTAATGAAGCTCTCTTGATGCCATTAACAGGCATGTCGGAATTATGCGCGGATGCGGACGCGCATAATTGCCCCCTTTCCGCATAATTTACCAAATCGCGCATAATCCCGCATAATTCGTGTCTTTTTCCCATGTTATACCATTTTTTAAGATGMCTTGYCTTCTACTAATGTTTTTTGTGGTCCATTGACTGTTTTTTTGATCAAAAAACGCTCCCAAACATGCTTATAATTTTCCGAATATAGTTTTGTTTTCGTGGGCTTCACAAATGTACCAGGCRTTYAAAMTTTCATCAGAAAAGAGTCTGGGCACTAGCATTACTGGTCASCCTGTGCCTTACTAGATCACGTGACAAATTCCAATATGGCGTATGATACAAGTGAGATGTATGTAAAGCGTGCGAGAACGAAAAAGTCTAAAAATATCTTTCCTTCTGTTGGTACTGCCTTCTGTACTTCGTAACTAAGATAAAAACGGAGTTTTGCATGAAAAACAAACACAATAACCTAAATATATGTTAAATTTCCCAAATTTTACGTTCCTGTGATGACGTCATCCCGCATAATTTTCCGCATAATTCACCCTTTTCTCCGCATAATTCCGACATGCCTGCATTAATTATCATTAGCATATTGGAAGATTTGACCTTCAAAACTCAAAGACACAACACTGAAATGCAGGAATATTTCACCATGCAATTATTTACTTTATTTAGAATCAGCTCACAGAGAATCAGAAATTATTTTGTCAGGCGTCATTGGCACTTTTATTTAAAAATAATCATTGACTAATTATTTCAATTAATTTGGATTTGTAAATATTTACACAGGAAGCTCATACAAAAAAGCATTGAATAAAAATGTTTTACTTACCTGCAGTGTAGGTAGCTTTGTTTCTGGTCAATTGTAAGTCATTTTAGCTATTTTTCAGAAATTCAACGCTTAAAGAGGGAGGGAGATTTTGAAAAACAGATAGAATGGACCTCCAAATCAAACATTCATATCTTCCAATATAAATCCATAATGCTCTCGACTGGTATTTATCAGGGAAGGTCATGTCGAAATACTGGAATATTTATTGGACAATTTAAAGAAGTCTGGTGTATGGTCAAACAAGAGGAAAAGCAAGAATGGAAGGACACCATTGCATACAGCTGGTAAATATACCAGGGGAGGTGGGAGGGGCACCCCATTTTAATATCTATATATTAAAATATAGGGGAGAACCTCCCTCTGGGACCCTTGCCCAAAACAAAATTTGATGGAGGTATCTCCCCTCCCATTAGCACCAACCATAATGATGTCAATTGTTCCAGCCTTAATTCTCACTACTAATGCATCATCATTGTGTTATATTTTTTGAAGAATATTCATTTTAAGTAAGTGAAATAAAGTAGTACATCAGTTTAACTATAGATTATTCTAGGACAAACAACATGTAATTACAAACAAAATAATGTATCAAAGAGGCGAATAAACATTATTATTATATAAGATATCTTTTTTTAGCTCAAAATCTCTTTCACTTTTATATCCAATGTAATGACTTTTAAAGCCAGGAAATGACTCTGCTGATTTTTTTTTTTAATCACTGCCATGCTGTTGTTGTTTTTGTTGTTGTCTAACTTGATTTCAAATGATTTTAATTTTAGCGCTTCATGGAAAAGTTAATGCAGTCAAATTTATTGTTGAAAACTGTGAATACACACCGGATACTCCTGATTCCTGTGGAGCAACACCATTAATGGATGCTCTTCGCAGTGGTCATGTTGATGTTGCTGATTTCTTGGTCAAGAAGCATGAGGTTAAAATGTCCTTTATTATAATACCCTAGTTATTACTGTATAGCTTGCTGCTATTTAATATACTAGACAAACTGTTGAGTTAACTACATAGCGTCGTGAAATGCTTATTCCAAAGACTGGATTGTATTCGTTGTTATTAGATTCCACATTTTGTGACAAAATGTCAAAATAAAATATTTTTKTAGATCTGAAACTCTTATTCGTGAGTCTACTATTTTGTTGTGTTATTGGGCTGTCTGACTCACATATTTCTGTTTCTTCTCGACGTTTCGACACCATTCTGGTCGTCATCCTCAATCAAATCCTGAGGATGACGACCAGAATGGCGTCGAAACGTCGAGAAGAAACAGAAATATGTGAGTCAGACAGCCCAATAACACAACAAAATAGTAAAAATATTTTTTACAGCATAAACTAGAGCATTATAATCGTGCCTTACTTGATGGCTTTAATACTGGATTACTTGACTTTAATGTTAAATTTACTGTTTACAATCTTTATTTCAGGCTTCTGTATATCAATATGACAAGCTTGGCTATCAGCCTATTCATCTTGCAGCACAAACGGGTTGTATTGCATCACTGAGTTATCTTATAGATAAACAWWCAGTGGATCCCAAGAGTAGATCACGTGGAAGTGAAATGACACCGTTGCATTTTACAGCAAAGGTTCGTCATTGTATAGTCATCACAATCATAGTTATATGCGCAATATTCTCTAGAGACTACATTGAATTGTACGTTTTTTGTTATTTTATTTTATTAACTTTTTTTTGTTTCTTTGTTTTTTTGTTTCTTTGTTTTTGTTTTGTTTTTTTGCAGGAAGGGCATTTGCATGTGATAAATTATCTTTCCAAGTTAGGTATTGATGTTGATGCCCAAGATGTTAAAGGAAGAACAGGTGATTGTATAAGAAAAGGCCTTCCGCAGCCCATGAGAATACTCCAATTTCGAGTTCTGGTTTGCTCTGTGTTAGCCTCAAAACCAARTAACRTATTCYTTTGTTTTATTGATAGCCTGCGAAAACGCATGGAATTTGAAAAGAAGAGACAGTAGACTTGATATGAAATCTCACACTTTTATTCTCACAATTAGGAATATTTTACGCGCAAAAGAGGCTAACACAGAGCAGTGGAGAATTCGAAAGTGGATTATTAAGGCACTTAATACTATGTTTAACTTAGTACTATGTTTAGCATAATTTACTACCCTTGCATCTCACTAGATATACTATATATTTGTCCAACAATCACTAGATATACTGCCCCAGCAATCATTAGATGTACGACCCTCACACCCCAACAACGGCCAGAAAAAGCCAAAGCAGGTGTACAATGTTTCTTGTCGGACTGGATTGTTTCGTTGATTGTGCTTAAACCTAATTAACACTTTCATAACKTCGAAGTTCAAGTTTTTTTCTCTCTCTTTTCTTTTTATGGGGGGGTAAGGCTTGGGGCAAAATTTTCTATGAAAAGCTCCTTCAAAAGGCACTACAAACAAACAAGCAAAATRCTGTAAGCATAAACACAAAGAAATTCAGAAACCAAATGCGGGATTTACAAAAACGTCCCATAATTTCGTGTTATGGTCTTAATTGSTCATGTTTTTCTTCTTCTTACCAAAGCACTTCATTTATCATCTGCTGCTGGGTATGATGATTGYGTTACAAGCCTATTGCGTGACCACAATGCCAATCCATCAATACGGGACATCAATGGAATGACTGCCTTGGACTTCGCTATCAAACCATCAGTGAGAAGTATTTTAGGAAAATGTTAGAGTTGAGGTAGATTGTCAGTAATGTAGCTTATGTTRCAATAAAAAATGTTGCAAAACAATTTATATTCCTAAATGTACGATAAATTGATGGTAAGAACTGCCGTGAATAAATGTGTCAGGAATAATAATCGTCGCAGTGAAATATAATAATCTAAGCGAATATTCAATTAGATCGCTCGAAAGAAAAATCGGAATTCATGGGGAATCGAACCCATGACCTTTGCAACGCCGGTTCAGTGCTTTTCCAACTGAACTACGAAGCCAGGCGAAACGTCTAAAAGATCACAGACAGCATAATTGTGCCTTCAGAAGTCATAGCTTTTCTAATAAAAGTCAACTACATTGCCGAGCCGACCCATCCATGGTCAGTGGTTCGATTCCCGYTGAAGCCCTAATTTTTTTCAGGCGATGCATTTATTCATAATCACTTGCTAGATTATTACAATTTCACAGCGACGATAATTATTCCTTACAAACATAGGTGTACGTCGTCTTTGGTGGTTGCTGTCCATTAAAGGATTGTTACTTTTCAAGTATTTTACAGTATTGCACTCGGAAACTAATTGTTGTSAAATCTGAACTGGAACGCGCATTCTTCTCTCTTTTTCTCTGTTTATTTTTATTACCGTTACTTGTTGTAGTTGTTGTTGTAGTTGTTGTTGTTGTTGTTGTTGTTGTTGTAGATTTTATTGTGCGGCATAATATTCTTCAATATTTCAGGGATCGTTTTATTCCAACTAAAAGGGGAAAAATGCTAATGCGAGCCTCTGACTGCATTTTGGTGAAAARTCGATTCAATTATCTCAAAATGTTATTATTTAAAAAGTCAGCTAGAAACCGGAAAGTTGCATTTCCGAGTAATTATGTTTCTCTTATAGATGTTACCTGGTAATATTGTGCAGGAACTCATTATCTTGGGGTATGCCTTACCTCCAACAATGTGTCTACCATTATTAGAAGTGCTTTGGACTAATTGAAATTTTGTATGTGAATTTGCTTAGACGTGCGTGCGTTAATTTTATTGGTGTTCCAAAACGCTCCTTTATCTCTAAGGAACTTTTCAAAATGAGTGAGAACTGGATTTTTTTTTCTTTGCATAAAAGAATGTTAAAAGAGGCTAAAATCTGGTTCCAGAAATGTGTAGCATTCCAGCGTTTTTCTAGATTTTACAAGTAGTAGCAATAAATCCAGAGAATTTCGCTTTAAAATTAATATTTGTTTCTTTCAAATCTAATCCATTGTTTTATGTAACGCCGAAAACTTCACTCGCTAATTGGGAAAGTCACCTGCATTATTACCTTAGTTGAAGATTTAACACATCTCTGCGAGATTTSGGTCTAATTTAAGTCGGCGTGCGCTATAAAAGTACCAAACCAAACATTCGCTGTTATTTCCGTGACCACTTCGTCTTTACAATCTGCGCAGTTCAAGATGAAGCTGGAGATGGTGATGGTCTTTCTTGTCATGTCGTTAATGTTTGAAGTCCAGGCTCGTTCTGTGTTTATTGGAAGTAGCCAATCAGGTTAGTTTCGGCAGGGAAAAAATGGGCTTTGTGCTCGTTTTTCACTTAAATAATAGCGGATGAGATTCGAATTCAAATCATTATGCGAAGAGTGGCATTTCGTTCGAAAAAAAAAAATGAAAACAAAATCATTCGTATAACAAATGTTATAAGTAATTTGATGTATTTCATATACTACAAGGATACTTGGATGATGTTGGGAGATTTCCTATGAAAAGAAACAATTGGAAACAATGCTATGTTTGCTGCTACCGTTCAACCTCGTAAGTATTTAAAACCCAATCGTTTCAAAACATATTATATGAAAAGACGTCAAAAATAGTCTTGCTCGGCACTACGAATGAGAYTTTAAAATTAAAATTAACGTTGTCTTATAGTTTTAAGGGCCATTGTCCGCCAGCATTCAATACGGTCGTGGTTTGGTATTTCATACATGGAAATTAGATTCGACTATTCGCAATCCGCTCCCATCAGTTGTTTTTTTTTTTTTATTTTTTTATTTTTTTATTTTTTTTTTTCGTCGAATCTTACTATATGCTCATATAACATATAAGGATAAAAATAAGACAATTGTTTTGAGTATATTGGATGTATTTCTATGTTCGAACATAAACAAAAGTTTCAAATTGATGCCGGTGGWGCATGGTTTCCTYATCAACTTTTGTCGTCTCCACAGGTGCAAGCAGATGGTTCGCAAGCAGTGTAATTGTTACTTCTAATCTTATATGGTATACTAAGGAAATTATTAAAGATGGTTTGATTGTCGATTTAATAGCGTTTTTCTTACAAATGCGGCTTTGGGCTTCATCTTCATCAGGTCAAGCTTGCTCGGCTTTCCATGACCCTTTTGACCAACTATCCCTATCGCTCATAGCGGTAGCCAGCTCGTCAGCCCTACATCCCGTATCGTCGGATAATTGGTCGATGTAGGTCCTCTTCGGCCTTCCCCTTGATCTTTTCCCATGGGATGGTCTCCACAAGACACCACTGTGTCCCGCAAAGCGCAGCCGTTGTTGGCGTACTGAGGTAGTAATGGGTGAGATGTTGCCATAGAGTTCTTTGTTGGTGGGATGGTCTTTCCAGGATCGGTCTAGAACAGCTTCATCTTACCAGGAGGAAAATCCTGGCAAATTCGACTCAATTAATGTTTCTC